ACCCCTGTTCTAGTCCAACCCCCCTGCTCCAGCAGGAGATCCTTACAGAATCATAGATAGCAGAGTTAGAAGAAACCTTGGAGGCCATCTGGTCCAACCTCCTGCTCCAGCAGGAAACTTTATATCATCTGGAATCTGGATTATTTTAGTGCCTCTAACAGAGAGGAAAATTCGCTGAGGAGTTTTGCTAGGACAAGGCTGCCATGCAGAGGAAGGCAGAGTTAGTCCTTCACTTATGATCACAATTGGGCCCAAAATTTTGGTTGCTAAGCAAGAGCGTTGTTAAATGAGTTTCACCACATTTTACTCAATCCATGACATCTCCTGGGTCTAACGGTCATGTGCAGGCTAGGGAAGTAAATTTGTAGGTGTGTGCAATGTTCTAATGTACAGAAGTTATAGTTAAATATGTGGCAGAAAGTGGACGATGGGTGTGTTTTTCCAAATGCAGTGAGGTTGAATGTGTATAGTTTTAGAAGAGCTCTGTGTGTGTGTGTGTACATGCACATACAGTATATATAGTAGATAATGTATCTTTTTGTGTGCCTATACACACGCTATACTATGTAATATATGGCAGATATACATAGAATTAAATAGTGTATTTTGGATGTTCAGTAGTAGTAAATAAATAGAGAGGGAAATTGTGTCTCTTTGAGGTGAAGAGAAGCCAGGCACACTTGAGTTGGTCATGCCCATCCATTCACATGACCACCCAGCCTGCCCACCCAGTCACATGATCACCAAGCCATGCCCACCAAATAAGCCACGCCCACAGAATTGGTAGTAAAAATTTTGAATCCCACCACTGCTTAACACTCCTCCAATTTAGAGCTAGACAGCATTTAAACCAAGTTGTTTCACATGATCCTTGTATTTCTATATACTCAATAGCTTTGTCATGAAATCAGCCAAATTATCTTCCAATGGACAGTAAATTAGGTCTGTTACATTTTCTTCCACTGCTTCTCTGACATTACAATATGTTATACCAACATGTTTGCTTCTGGCTTTACTCTCTCACTGTTGCCTCTTGTATACCTGTGTTGTCTTCAAATATTGGTATAGCTCCTTTCACTTCAATATCCAGTTGTATTCATTTAACAATTGTATATACCATGTTAATTCTGAACACAACCTTGACAATGCTGTGAATTCTGCTTCAGCTGTGGAAATGGCAACTGAAGTCTATTTTCTAGACTTCCAACCAACTAGTGTGTTTGCAAACATTAGAACAAATCGTGACGTTGAGTTTCTGTCTTGTACATCATTAGCCCAATCACTGTCTACAAACATTTCAATTCACATTCATTTGATGATTGCAAATGCAATCCCAAATCCATGGTTCCTTTTAAATAATACAGTTATTATTTTTCATTCCTAACCAGTTTTGTTGTGTGGGGTTTGAGCAATTAACCTTGTTTTATGTTGAATTCATCATTCATCAAAAGTTTCTTTTTGTACATCCATCTGTACCCAACAGCCCTTTCTCTCTCTGATAATCTCATTGGAGTGAAAACTTTATATTTTTGCATGGACAACAATTCTTGATTCATGGCCTCTTTCCATTTCATTTTTTTCTTTTTTTGCCAGAGGAAATTTAATACTTCCTGATAATGTTGGGGCTCATAAAATACGTTACATACTTTTACCTCACCAACTGTGAATATTTCTGGAGAAACACCTTTGTTTGTTCTCTCAGGCCTTGGAAATAAAATATTCTTGATTCATTGTAGTCTCACTCCAAACATTCCTCTAGTCCAGGGGTGTCAAGCTCAATTTCATTGAGGGTCGCATCAGGATTCTGGTTGACTTTGTGTGTGTGTATGGCCAGGGTGTATGTGGCAAATAGTTGTCACAATCTTTTACATTCAAACCTACAGCCAAGTCAGGCATTTTCTACAATACTTTAACGCTTGTATGGACCAGCCTTCTGTGTAACAGATGTGGAAACTCATTATGCTTTGGTTCATTAGAAAAGATTGTTTGCATACTGCCACCAGTTTCCTTGTGGTTCAAAATATATCAGTTGTTCAGTTTCAAACCTTGTGCACACGTTCTCTTCATGACCCTTGCAAAAATTACCTCATACCCTCCTTTATTTAAGTAAGACACACTCAGCAAATTGTGATCTAAATCTGGTGTCCTTATCAAATAATATACCAATACATGGTACTGTTCCTTGCCACTATACAATGGAAACATTACCATTTGCCAGGCTTTCATATTATTGGGCAGCTGGTCCCAGACTGGAAAAAAGTTTTGGGTTATTTACAATATGCTCAGTTGCCCCACTGCCTAACAGCTAAATGCATTTACTGTCTTTGCATGTTGCCTTTACCACAGGAATCTGTGTGTCTTCCTTCCTTGTGCTGTCCCTCTCCTTTTTGTATCTTTTAATCATCTCATTGAGCAATTTCTCCGGATATGTTGAGTGGATCCACATGCAAAGCAGTGTTTGCCTACACATACTTTATCTCCCACATAGTTATCTTTCTGGAATGTGACTTCTTTTTGACAGAGCTATAAATTACTGTCATTTCTTTTGAGTGCAATGTTTCTCTCTAATCTTTTTTGTTCTTCTAAAAGCCTTCCAGTTATATAACTCAAAATTAAATCACACTTGTTCATGGATTTAAGGCTTGTTACATCCAAACTATTATCAAGGGAACTCAGCACAACATACACTGTGTGTTTCTGAAAATACCATTCTTCTCTCTTTGAATGGTTTTCCTCCTGAATTGGAAGTGATAGCAATAGCCCTTAGACTTTACAGCCCTCTCTAAGTGGTTTTACAGAATCAGCATATTACCCCCAACAATTTGGATCCTCATTTTAGCAACCTTGGAAGGATGGAAGGTTGAGTCAACCTTGAGCCAGTGAGACTTGAACTGCTGAACTGCTAGCAGTCGGCAGAAGTAGCCTGCAGTACTGCATTCTAACTACTGTACCACTCTGGCTCTGATCCAACACATTTTCTCCAGACTGTAGTTTTGCCTTATGAAGTTTTCTGGTGAGAGTTACTTTTCTGCTTGCTGTCTCTTACATAAATTCTGCATAGGGCAAGCCAGCATTCTCTAGCAGATATTAGCATGTAAAATTATGCTGGCTAGTGCTTTTCCATTTTGCCTTTTTCTGTTTCTCATTGAGATCTACTGGAGAATTGCTTACAACTATCCATAAATCCTCCCTTCACAGAAATACCTTCATCTTTAGGCTCCATGAGTGATAATTCATCGTATTAAGACGAGCCAAAGGAGATCATTCTCCCATTTCTGTAACAGATAGCATCAGGCTGTCTTTACACGCCAACTTCCCTCAGGTTCACAAGGAAACTTTTACCTCAGAGAAAATAATGCTGGTGCTTTATCACACTGTCACCCATAACCTGTCAGAATTAAATAGCAGCTATCCAAATGAAGTCAGAGATGCTGACACAAACTTGCAGTTTTATATAAATAAATATTTTTACATCTGTATTTACAGCAAACAAAATACTGTGTTTCCCTGAAAATATGACCTACCCCAAAAGTAAGTCCTAGCTTGATTTTCACACGTGCGCCCAATATAAGCCTTAACACCCCCCTCCCCAATCAGCCACCCATTTCAGAGTGCACGGGTTAAAATTAAGCTAGGGTGGGGATTGGTGGGTGGAGCTGCCCTACTACTTATTTTGGACAGTTGCAACCAGGCCTTGCACACCCCAACACCTGCCTTGCCGGCCCAATTCTTCTGCAGCCAGCAAGGCTTTCCTGAAGGCCTCTGCAGCAATAACAGAGGTAGATCCAGGTTGATCCAGAGATTGCTCCAGGTCAATCCAAAGCTCTGTTATCAGCTACAGAGGCCTTCAGAAAAGCCTTGCAGGCCTTGCTGGCCACAGATGAGTCCCTGAAGGCCTCTGACAGGAAAAAGGAGACCAGGGCTAATGCACGCAAGTGAGGTGAGTCAGTGGATGATACACACACATACCCAGTGCTGTTTTTTGTGGCAAAAAAAAAATAAGATAGGGTCTTATTTTCGGGGAAACACATGTAGTCAGGCAAACAGGTGCATCATGAGGAGCATACAGAGCACGCAGGAGAAGAAGGCGGTGTGGGGGGAAGGGAACTCCACACCAACAGCAACCAATCACAGTCACATTGCTTCATGCAGGAAGCAGCACTCTCCAACCAATCAGCTATAACTGTGTGTTCTGGCTCACTGCACAACTACCTGAACCAGATACTAAATTTAAGCATCTTAAGAGGGATACAGTGGGTTAGTTGGGGCGGTAGAGGTGAGGACACACAGTGAAGTGACTACAGCAATGTGGCCGTGACCAATTGTCATATTCCATATCAGGCAGGATATTACTCTAGGATAACAAAGGCTGTGGGTTTGGGGAAGTTCTTTTCCTTCTTTATTAGGGGCTCGGGGTTGCCAATTAATGTTTCCTATGAGAAAAAGTAACCAGATTCTTTCCACATTTGTTTGATGTTAAGGAAGTGTTTTGAGATGAAGTCAGAAGGTTGATCAAACAACAGATTACCCCACATAAATGTCAGAAAAAGGAGGTATCATTTGCAATATCATAGCAGTGCAGCAAATGTCTGAGGTGATTCCTTCATTTCTGACACCCCACTTCAAAATTACTGCATTTAAACATAAATTTTATAAAGATTTAAAACTTTTCAGTTTTCAAAATCTTTATATATAACATGTTTAAATATCAGGGTCACTCTGTGAGTGAGATAGGTGGTCTCTAATAAATAATAAAATATATTTTATTATAATCTATTATTTATTACTACTTCCCTCTCTTTACTTTCTTCATGTTTCAAAAGATTTAAAGTAGGAATAAATTCAGGAGAAAAAGCTTTATGATTTTTCACCAAGCAAGAAGATACAATTACAAATCTAGTTATTATTCTTATAATACAGACTTGAATGTGCTGCTAGCAATTAACAAACATGAATCTGGTACAGGTATAATTTATGTTTCATGATTTCTCTCTGAGTAGGTGTTGCTCTCCTTGCGAATCTTGCTCATGATGAAACCCAGCATGTTAAACAGGGCAAGTCATCAGATTGCATTTGGCCTTCATGAGCTTCTCAAGACTAATGCTGCCAATATTCACTCTGGAGAAGACTGGTACACACTCTTTACTCTCTTGGAATGCATTGGTTCTGGGGTGAAACCACCCCCAGCGCTGCAACCTACAAGAACAGAGAATGATACAGGTAATTGGTCATTGGCAATGGGTTTTCTTGTTGAGAAGCATGCTACCAATTTGTTAACAGTTGTTGCTTCAGACATTTTGTTTAGTAAAGAGGCTCACAAAAAACCAAGTCTGATTTCAACTTCTTTCTCCAACAGATTAAAAAACCAGAAGTTTTTACCTTTCATTTTTCCCACTTATATTTCCAGTTGTTATGATTAAATATAAAAATAGCTGATTAAAAACTATGTTTTACTAGGAGTATGGAAATAAAATTTATAGGCAGGATTCATAAAGCTTCATAGTATCAGTATGCAGCTAGTAGGAAGTTGCTGCTTCAAGGTATTCTGGAAATACTGTGGAACTTACTGAGAAGTTAAACCACACCAGGAAATCAACTGCATATAAAAACTAAAACTATTTTTATTACAATTGGCCATAATAACAGAATCGTGCAAGTCTGATTATTCTCTTTCTCTTCTTCATTATACTTCAGTGAATAGAGAAATGTTTGCCTGAATCATTTCTGAATAATCTCATTATTCTAGCTTTTAAAAAATGTAATCTTTTTGCCTAGATTTCCTGCATGTTGCAGTCAAAGTCATCTTCCTTTTTCTCTACAATTACTTGCCTCTCAGTTTTCCCGTCAAAATTGAGGAGAAGGCAGTGTACTAGAGAGAGATTATATAAAATGCTCGAACCACTAGATTCTTAGGGTAAAGTAGAAGATGCTTGCTTTTTCTGCTGGGAATCAAAGGGTGACAGTGACCTAGGTTTAGTTTAAATTAAACCACCAAGAATGGGTGAAATGATGGATTCTCAGCTTTGCTTCCCATTTTACCAAAAAGGGAAGGAAAAGAAAAGCATGGATTTGTGACATTCCTGGAACTTTAAAATAGTGTCTCGTGGAAAGAAAGCTGGATGAGAAGGTTGTTGGGCTCAGTTCTACCTAAAGACTATCATGAATGTGTGTATATGTATTTGTATATGGGGCACTTAACAACACAACTGTAATTTCAGGTTATTTAGTATTTATTTATTTATTTATTTAACTTATATCCTACCATTTTTGCTATGATTTGCACAATTCCCAGTCGATGTTATATGTAGTCATTCATAGAGTGAATCACGTTAGTCCAAGGCACCATTGGAGCATTTGCATTTCCATCATAACAGTCTCTGGTGGCATAAAAAATAAGCTCTTGCACATTTGCTTAATTCCATTTTGTTTAATTATTTGTTTAAGGAGCTCAATCAGACAGTGAGATCTCCTACCATCCAAATGAAACCAGCCTAGATCGTGGCTACACTTCTGATTCAGAGGTATATGCAGATCACAGCAAGCAAGGTAAATTGCATCGTTCTGTCACTGATGTAGATGTGGTGAACAGTGGCTGGCTTGTGGTAAGTAATTTTGAGTGTTTTGGTCTCTTTATATGTATCTGAGATGAATAAATAGTAAATAATTAAGGGTTTTCTCCATCTTTGAAAAAAATAAAAGGATCATGTCCCTCATTTACCATGTTAAAAATAATTCTACATACACAAACTCTGTTCTAAGCCCTCAACAGTGGTTAAGGTAACATTGAGAATTATGTGTGTTAACTGGGCTTGAGCACGCTTCAAATGTAGCCCATAATTTTCCCAAATAAGAAATAGTTTGGTTTATCTCATTCACTGTTTTCTCTTTTTATGTTGTGAACATAAGAAGCTGCTTTATCTTGAATTATATTATTCAGTGCATCTAATCATTGCTTACATTGTCCTTTTCTTGATGTGAGTTAATACTGGGACTTACAAAATGACAAAATGTTATAACATCAGAAATATTAAAGAAAATATTTGAAGAATAGAGCCAGAAATTAGTTATAATGTCAACACTATTGGTATTAATGTCTGCTTTTATGGACAAACTATATCTAAAAAATTTAATGAAGGAATGACAGATGTGGAACAATTTTTTCTGACATGACGGAGAAAGTACTGAAAGTAGAACTACAAATGAGAGGCCAAAAGAATAATTTGGAAAAGGACATTTGCTTGATATAAAAAAGGCTGAAGTTTTAAAAATTAAAAGGAAAGTAAAAATGATAAACCAAGAGAATGACCTGGATTTTTTGGGGGGAGGGGTAGAATCTGCAAAAGAGAGTTGATAAAATCTCTGTCTCGTGGGATGAAGAGTGAAGAAAAATAAAATCCTACAGCAATCATTGAATTAAAAATTAAGACAAGTTTCAGAAAAGGAATACAAAGTTGATTTATTTGATCAAAGATAAAGTAAGACTTTTTCGCAAAGTTCTGGCAACCCTTTCTGAACTTTCTGCTGATGCAAGGATTGACAAATTGATATTTATGAATTTGTTTATAGGTCAGGGATGGGATTTGGGATGAAAAGTGATCTGTTTGTAACCTAAAGGGTGTGAAGAGTTATTAAATTGGTTTATAGTTGTGCTGAAGGTTGGAAGTCTATTTCTTTTCCTTTTTTATTATATTAATTCTTTTCTTTTTCTTCTTTTTCCCCTGCACTTTTTGTTCTTTTCTTTCTTTTTCTTTCTCTAAGTTTAGTTCTATTACTTTTTACTATTTTTATAATTTTTTAAATAAAATTATATTTAAAAAGCACATTGGCTTCAATTAGAACATATGGTTTCCTTTAAGCTTTGAATAATCTCTACTTCACAGGTTGGGAAAGATGACATTGATAATTCAACCATGGCTGGACTTTCCAGACTAGGCAATTCTCCCCTTGTGAATCAGTATAGTCTGACTGTGGGAATGGACCTGGGTCCTCATAATACCAAATCTCTCATGAAGTGTGTTGAGTCCTTATCTTTTATTGTGAGAGATGCAGCTCATGTAACCCCTGAGAACTTTGAGCTGTGCGTCAAAACAATCCGCATCTTTGTGGAAGCCAGTCTAAATGGAGGTAAGCCAGATTTCTATTAGTTTCTATATGGCCCAAAAGCTCCAACTATACTACTACTATTATTACTACTACTGCTAATGTGTATTATCATTGTCATATTTATTTGAAACAGCAAGGAAATATTTATATAATCTAGCTGACGGTCTCTCCTTAGAGGGAGCAATGCCGAAGTCTAACTTAGGGGTTAATATGAAGAATATGCTGTGCATCTGTCAGATAAAATTTGTCGCATTCACTCTATGTCAGACTCCACCCATAGAACAGAATTTATGGAGGTGATGGGGGCTACATCTTGCAAGGTGAGCTGGAAAGAGTTTGAGCCTGTTGCATGAAGAAGTGGATAAGCTCTCCCAGCTGCTAGTTCAGCCACTTGTGTGGTCTATGCCCCTTCTAGATAATGAAGGCCTCATGGGAGGCGTCACATGTATGGATCTTGGCAATAGTTAACAACTCCTTGAAAGAGGGAATGATCCCACCACTTTTTAAAGAGGTGATGGTGTGCCCCCTCCTCACAGGATCATTGCTTGATCCAGTTAGCCTGGGCAGTTTTCAACCAGTGTCCAATCTCTTTTTAGGAAAGATGATAGAGCGAGTGATCACATAGCAGCTTTGGAGAATTCTGGATGAGGCAGATTATTTTCAGTTGGGGTCCAGACTAAGGCTTGATATGGCATTGATTGCATTCATGGATGACTCTGGTAGGAGTGTGATGAAAGTAGTGCATCCATCCTGATGCTTCTTGATCTCTCAGTGGCATTCTATACCATTGATTGTGGTATCCTTCTGAGCTGTCTCCAATAATTGCGGGTGGGTGGCACTGTATTGTGCTGGTTCTCTTCCTTCCTCTGTGGCCAGTTCCAATTGGTATTGATAGAAGGAGAGAGATCTATTGGCCCCTATTTTGTGTTCTATTTAACATTTACATGAAGCTGCTGGGTGAGGTGATCCATCAGTTTGGGGTAAGATATCATCACTCCCAGTTTTATATTTCTGTGTCAGGTCCCTTGAATGATGCTGTGGACGTACTATTCCAGTATCTGGAGACTGTTGGGGACTGGACTCATTGGAGGTTTTTCCATCTCTGGTTTTGGATGGGATTGCATTGAACCAAGAGATTTGTGCACAATTTGGAGATCCTCCTGGTCTTGCAGCTCCTGCTCAAAAAAACAGGTGGCAATCATGGCTAGAAAAGCCTTCCACAACTCTGGGTGGAACATTGTGCCTACACCTGGATTGGGAGGCCATGCTCACCAGTAACTCACACCCTTGTAACCTTCAAATTAGATTACCTTACACAGTCTATGTGGGCTGCCACTGAAGACCATATGGAAGCTCCAATTGGTGCAAAATGTTACCATGCATATATCGTGTTTCCCAAGCCTTTTATTTATATAAATAAATATATAAGGGCTGTCACGCCCGTAGCTGGATTTCGGGCTGACACAGTGTGGAGATGAAGGGAGTAATAAGAGGGAATTTGGTGGACAAAATAGAATAAGTCTGTGGTGAGTCAGAGCCATTCTAACAGGTGGCCAGCCCCAGGAGGAGAAGAGAGCTGTAATCAGGCAACCAGCTAGTATCCAGATTGGATAATGTGATTTATTGTTTTGAGAAGACTGGAGACTTTCTCTTCTTTTTTTTAAAGTTTTATTGTTTTTAAGACAAACATAAACAAACACAACATAAAAACATCAAACCATCTTCCATATATGTGCATACAGTGTGTCGGTTGGTTTACAAATTGTTTTGTGCTTCCACTTCATAGTCTTCAATTACAATGTTTGTTCCTTTTTGTATATTATAGGATAAGAAAATGCTTCAATAGTCGATAGCCAGACCGGAATTTTCAAATAACATTGCCTTTTAGTCTTCTCCCAGTTTAACCACAGAGACTTCCATATATAATGTCTTCTAAAATACCCCTGTGTTTTAGTTCCTTTATACCATAAAAAAGCATGCCACCCCAACAACAGATCATGTCCTTCTAATGTCAACAATCTAGCATTTCTTAATGTTATCCATTCCTTAACCCACATCAAATTTGTAGTTTGGTAGTACAACTCCCAATTAGGCAAACCAAATTCTCCTCTCATTCTAGCATCTTGCAAAAGTTTTAATTTTATTCTCGCTTTCTTACCTTGCCATATATATTTCTACACAATTTTATTTAAATCTTCAAAATAATCTTTTCCAAGCCTAATTGGAATTGTTTGGAACAAATATAAAATTCTGGGTAATATATTCATCTTGATTGTTGATATTCTCCCTATTAATGATAGTTGTAAATTTTCTCATTTCTCCAAATCTAGCGCTATCTGCTCCTTAAGTTTAATATAGTTATTCTCTTTTAGTATACTACATCTTGCTGTCAAATGTACCCCCAAGTACTTGACCTTATTTCTGACCTGGATTTTCAGTACATCCGCCAGTTCTTCCTTTTGTCTTGATAACATATTCTTTGTCAAAATCTTTGTTTTGTCTTTATTTATTTTCAAACCAGCCACCTTCCCATATACCTCTATCTTTTCTATCAATTTTAATGCTGTTTCTAGTGGGTCTTCTAAAATGAAAACCAGATCATCCGCGAATGCTTGCAATTTAAATTCTTCCTTTTTAATTTTCATCCCTTTTATATCCTTTTCTTCTCTAATATTTCTGTTTAGCACTTCCAAGGTTAACACAAACAACAGAGGTGACAGTGGGCACCCTTGTCTTGTTCCTTTTCTTATATCAATAGAGTCTGTCAATTCTCCCTCGATCATTACCTTTGCTGTTTGTTTATGATATATAGCTTCTATTGCTTGAATAATTTTTTTTACCAAAGCCCATCTGTTCCAGCTGTAATAACATGAATCGCCAATTCACATTATCAAATGCCTTCTGTGCATGTAGAAATATCAAAGCCATTTGTTTTTCAGGGTGTGCCTCGTACTATTCCAAAGTGTCAAATATTACTCTCATATTGTTTTTAATTTGTCTCTTTGGCAGAAATCCATTTTGATCAGGATGGATAAAATTGTTTAAGTATTTTTTTAAGTCTTTCTGCCAATATTGAAGCAAAAATTTTATAATCTGCGTTTAGTAAGGAAATAGGTCTATAGTTCTTGATTTGTAATGGATCGGCCTCCTCTTTTGGGACGAGTGTAATATTAGCTTCTGACCATGATTTGGGTATCTTCTTCTTTAACATAACTTCGTTCATAACTTCTAGCAATAGAAGGTTCAACGATTCTTGTAGTGTTTTATAAAATTCTGCCGGAAGTCCATCTGGGCCTGGTGCCTTTCCATTGTTTTGCTTCTTAAGTGCTTCAGTTAACTCCATCATTGTTATATTGCTTTCTAACATTATTTCAATCTCTTTAGGTATCTGAGGTAGATTAGCATTCTGTAAGTACTGTTTAACTCTTTCATTGTCAATATTCTCTTGTGTGTATAGTTTCCCATAATATAATTTCCTTCTTCTCTTTACTTCCATAGCAAACTTGGCCTTGATCATCTATTAATTGCAATATTTTCCTTGATTTTTTCTCCATTCTCAGTTTATATACCATCTACCTGGTTTATTTGCATCTTCAAAATAGTTCTGTTTCGCACCTCTGATTTTCTGTGCTAATTCTTCTTTTTCCATTAGTCCCATTTTATGTTTAATTATATCCATTTTTAACTTAATGTCCTTTTTCTGTGGCATTTTCTGTAACTCTTTTTCAAGTCCTTTATACTCATCCTCTAATGTCTTAGAGGCTAGTCTTTTCATGGTATTTCTTTTCCTTGTATAGTCTATTATCAAGCCTCTGGCATATGCCTTCATTGTATCCCATACATTCTGCATTGATATATCTTCTTTTTGTTTTTTCTAAAGAAGAAAGCCAGTTCTTTCTCCATCCACTGTGTGAAGTCTTTTTCCTTTAATATAGTATTATTTAACATCCATCTAGATCTTCTTCTTTGTCCTTTCCATTTAATTGTCATTGGATTATGATCTGCCCAAGTACTTGTTTCAATATTTATTTCTTGGATATTAGCTAACAATTCTGTTGACATCCATATCATATCTATTCTGGACCATGATAAATGTCTGTTTAAATAGAAGGTGTATTGTTTAGTTGTAGCATTTCTTTCTCTCCATACACCTTTTAAATTTATTTCATCTGTCATTTTAAAAAAGGATTTTTTAAAAATCTTTGCTTTGTTGTTTTCTGTGTTGTATAGTCCAATTTATTGTCTACAATTCCATTAAAGTCTCCCATCATAACAATATTAGCATAGTCCATTCATATGTAGTTTTCTATAAAATTCTTCTTGATTGTCATTTGTGGCATAGATTGCAATCAGGAGTGTTTTCATATTATTGTTCATTATTTCCACCACCAATAATCTTCCATTGTCATCCGTACGGATCAATTTCACTGGGATAATATCTTTAATGTATAAAACCACTCCTCTTTTCTTGCATTGTATCAAAGAAATAAATATTTTCCCTAACTTTGGCTGTATCAACAGTTGTTCATGTTGCTTTTTAATATGTACTTCTTGTAGGCAGATTATATCAAATTTTAATTTCTCTAATTTATGGAAAGTTTTCCTTCTTCTAACAGCTGAGTTAAGTCCGTTTATGTTAATTGTAATCAGTTTTTTCTCTTCCATGATTATACTTTATAGGTAGGTTTGGCAGCTCTCATAGATCTTGGTTCACTTTGTTCTTTAACTTTCACCTTTCTGCCTACTGCACCTTCTTCTTTTTCAGTTGCTATTTGGCAGTCCTCTTGGAATTCATTCTTTTTCTGTCTCCTCCTCTTTCCCTCCAAAGTATTCTATATAAAATAATTCAGCTTTCTCAATTGAGTCCATTCTGTGTCTTTGTTTTTGCCATGTGAACATTAAACCTTCTGAAATCAACCATCTATAATTCACCTCTTTTTTAAGTAGAATTTTAGTCAGGAATCGGTATTCTCTTCTCATCTCTCTCACTCTTCTGGGTACTTGTTTCAGGACCACAATCT